TCAGTGTATGACTGAGGGCCGGTCCAGACAAGGAAGTTTGGGGTGGTCTGGATTGTACTGAAAAGGTTCTCATATTAGGTGTGATCTCTCACTTGAATGATCCTTCCATTCACACCAGAGATGCTTCTTTCCCATGAGAAGGGTCCATACAATTTTTTTGATTGCTGGTTTACTTGTGTGCAACTGTACCCAGTTTACTTGCAAGCAAGTTTAGCTGGTCAACTAATTATTAAGGAGGAGGAGGTGGTGGTGGAGCAAGCTTGTGGCAGCACTATTGGTGTGAGAGGAAAATTTTGGGGAGACGAAAGGGAGGTAACCTCCCTTTTCACTACTCCTCTCCTTACCCAGGGCTCTGCTGTGGCTGTCCTGCTTTGTAGGGGTGGAGCCCATGGAGTTGTCTAGCCTCTTCTCTGCCTTTTCTTCCAGCTATCATTTAGCCAGTTGTGGTCCCTTTCCATTTTGTTGTTGTTAAATCGAGTAAGTTGCATATCAAAAGAGCAATTTATCTATCTAGCATAGCATTAGAATTGCATGCATCAGGTAGGGAAAAATTTCGTTTTAAAGAAGAAGAAAATAGACGAGGGGGTTTCTCTGTCCTCCCTTTAGACAACCCATCTATTAAGTTGCAGGTATCTCACCTCTGATAATGCCACCCACAGTGTCATCTGAGTGTGAACTAACCATCTACACAGGCTACATAATGAGATAATTAGATTGTGCTGAATTGTAACAAAAAAGAATACATGTCCAAGTGCTGTGCCACAAAAGTGTGTGACCTCTCTTAAAAGGGCAGGACAGATCGCTCTAAGTAGAAACATGTAAGGATGCCATCATTTGGCTCGAATCAAATTGTACCGTAAATTCACATTTCCCAAACTTAATGTTTTGTTTTTGAAAAAGTAACACATATTCTAAATTCAATTAACATCGTGCAGATTTGGGACCTTAGCCCTCAGTGTGAGGGTGGGGGAACATTTTCAGCTGGATGGCCAAATTCAGTTGCAACAAAATTCTCAGCAGCCACACTGAAGTGTTGGGCAGGACCAATAGCAAAATGGCAAGACCAAGCATGTGTGCAATGTGTAGCTTAAAACTCCTACTGCCAGAAACAAAAGCTAAGTGGAAATCTTGAGTAAATTCACATTGAAACATGCTTTTCAGAATGTGCAAAAGTTGAAAAACTCATAAATGAAGATGTCATGGGGAAGGAGGCAGGGTCATCTGAAGAAAGCCTAGAGGACCGCAGGTTGTGAAGTTTCTCACCTGTGGCACAGAAGTTACTCAAGATCCAGCGCTGAATACCAAAGGTTAAGAACCACTGGCCTAGAGGACCAGTTTGGGACCCCAGGTTGTGAAGTTTCTCACCTGTGCCCTAGTGGATCCTTGGCACAGAAGTTACTCAAGATCCAGCACTGAATATTTAGCATCACTTAGCCTTAAAGCTACTCAGCTTTCCCTAAGAGAGATCCACTGTATGGCAGGGGAAATGCAACAATTGATCCTTCCCCCCCCATCTCTTCATGAAATCTGGACTAGCCCTAGGCTGTAACTTCCTACGCTTCGGATTCCAAAGCTTCCAGATGTCGCCTTAGGTGCCTGGAATACTTTCAAGTAGAGGTGGGGAACCTTTGACCACCACCCCTGAGATGTTTTGGACTCCAACTCTCCTTTGCCCTCAACCATGCAGCAGATGGGGACAGTAAGCAGGAATATCTGAAGGGCCAGGGGTTCCTACTCATGCTACAAAGAATGAGACTGAACTTTGCCTTGATGGAAATGAAACAGGAGTCGCTCTAGGGGCACAGGGCTCCCATTGTTTCATTGGGTGTTTCAGGAATGTTGATGACATTTAGGCATAAACTGAAGACATTTTTCCCTTTGTTCCCTTTCTCAGTTCCTTAAGCTTAACGTATGGAGAACTCCAGAAGCATCTAATCAGAAGTCATATCCAGTGCCCCGGCTCCTGCATTATTCATAAAGAAGCTTGATGGGCCAAAACTGCATTGGCTGGTACTGCATCGTTTCTTTTAGCAGGGCTTTGAATATCTGAAGAACAAGCACAGGAGCCTTCAGGCTAACAACGGCGTGACTATGGCAGCTCATGGGCTCTAGCTGCTAGCTGGACATCAACGCTCAAAAGATTGATAGCCAAGAGAGGAAAGGATTGTGGATGGCTGTCCAAATAATTCTAGGAAGCCCACAAAGGCAGCCTGAAGGAACCTTTAGAAGCAGCAAATTGCAAATAATAGAGTTACCTGAAAAGAGTTATTTATTTGGTATTGGTCTGTGATAACATTATAACTCACAAACATTATAATGGCTGAAATCCTGTTGCTTAGTGTAGTAAGTTGCAGTTAGAGTAGACCCATTGAATCAGTGGGGATTTGTTGAGTCAACTCCTCCATACATCCCACTGACTCAATGGTCACATTCTAGTTGTGACTTATCAGGCTGAGCAACAAACAGGCTTTCAGCCAATCAGTAAGAATGAAGCTACATAACCACTGGAATGAGTAATTTTTTTTGTTACTTTCAAAATCGTACAATATTTTAATTGTATTCTAACTGTTTTATCTTTTTTTTTTACTGTATTTAAATTGTTGTAAGCCACCCAGAGACCTTTGGGTAGTGTGGGCGGCATATAAGTTAAATAAATAAATAAATAAATCAAAGTTATTTTAAGGCCTCTTTTTTATTATTTTAAAGGCCTTTCCCCCCCAGGTTTTTTTGCCTAATTATTTTTTGGATTGTACTGAGTAATATAATCGGGTCCCAAGCCATTGAGGGCCTTAAAGGTACAGATCAGCACCCTGGAGAGGGCTTGGAAGTGAAAAGGTATCTCTAGCAGCAGCTTCAAAAACAATGCCTTTCTACCTGGATATTCTAGCTGTCATTCCCCCAAAGAGCCAAGATCCTTAAAACAATTACAGATCCTGGCTAGTTAAAGGAACTGGAAGCAAGGAATCCAAATCTGGACATAATATTAAGCTTTCTGTAGTGGTAAATGATGCCGAGAGAGGCCCGGAAGGAAAAGACGTGAAACCGGGCCTTCTCGGCGGTGACTCCTCACCTCTGGAACAACCTCCCTCCGGAGATTCATGCGGCCCCTATGCTGAGCGCCTTTAAAAGTCAATTAAAAACATGGCTGTATATTCAGGCCTTCCCTCCAGCTAATATCTGATTTTTCTTTTCATTTTTCTTTTATTTATTTCTTATTCTGTCTTTGTATTGTATTTGTTATTGTATGATTTATATAATATTTTGTGTTATTTTACTGTTCTATGGGATATTGGAAGCCACCTAGAGTGGTCTTATAAACCAGATGGGTGGGGTACAAATCAAATCAAATCAAATCAATCAATCAATCAATCAATCAATCAATCAATCAATCAATCAATCAATCAATCAATCAATCAATCAATCAATTCCTGATCACTCTAGCAGTACCTCTTTGAAGAAGCCAAGCAAGAGGAATTAGGCAACTTGTATTAGTTTTCTTGTTCATGACTAGTAATTTAGGGTTCTTAACAACTTACTGTTTTGGTTGATGGCAATCTCTGTATCAGTCTATATCTCTCTATCTAATTTGATAGACACAGTGGCCTTCTGATGTGTGGTTGAAGCTAGAAATGTCCATCAGACATTGTCCATCCAGACCACAGATCCTGCTGGTCTACAAGACATAATGTCTCCTTCCCTCTCCACTATGGCAAGGAACAGCCAAAAAGACCACGGAGTGCGTGCCCACATTTTAGCAGCACGCGCCTTGAGGCACAGTGGTTAAACTGCATTCCTGCAGTGAAGACTCTGCTCACAACCTGAGTTTGATCCAGACAGGCTCAGGTAGCTGGCTTGAGGTTGACTCAGCCTTCCATCCTTCTGGGGGGTTGGTAAATTGAGTACCCAGCAGTGTAGCCTGCATAATTAAATTATAATCTTCCTAGAGATTGCTTTAAGTCTGATGGGGGTGGTATATAACCAGCACACTTTATGATTCAATTTGTAGGTGTATTAGGTGTGGCAAGTAGAGGCCACAAAATCAGCTAAGGTTGGGGGCACACAACCTAAACCTAGTTGAGATTGCCAAGGCATTGGGGCAGGAGAAATCCATGTGTCTATCTCTAAACACATCATGCATTTAAGTCAAGGATAATATAATAATACTTAAAGCAAAGCCTTATGATGTCCCAGAATCCTATTCTGTAGCACTTTGCAGCCATTCCCCTTCCCCCCAAATTCACATTGTTTTAACATTCCACACGTAGGATTTCTGTATTAATATTCAAAAAGAATGAAACAGACCCCCCTCTGTACTGAACTGAACTGTAATAAGATTATACATTCCAGTCTTTTACTGCAGTGGCTCGGGAGGGGTCATACATCTTAAACATGATTATCTGGAGCTAAAGAGATTTTCTGCTGAGATGATTTTATCCACGTTAGGCAGGTTGCAGCCTGCACGGTCAGAATACTGGCAGACGGCGATGATGGGCCCCCTAAAACCCGCAAGCTTCTTTTCCCCAAACCTTTTCCCCAAACCTGCTAGGTTTCTCCAGGTGGGGCCCTGATGAGGCATTTTTTAAAATTATTTTTCTGTTTCTGTGTGGTTGAGCCTCACCTGTTGAATCTTCTTTGAGCACTGATCACTGTGAGGCAGCAGAGTGATCCACTGAGATGTGATTCAGACATTAATCAGGGTTGTAAAAATGGGCAAAGCTACGGCCACTGCGACTTGCAATCCGAAATCATTTCTCTTTTCGAGAAATACCGCAACTATGAATCACATGCAATTTTACTGAGAACCTCTGATTAATCACTAGGTTTATACTCATTTTTGCATACGTACATGAGAAGGCACTAGTGATTTTTTAAAAAAATCTTATCCATTGGACAAATGTACAACAGTTAAAATCAGAATGGGCTATCAGAGTCTGTACAGAATGTGAACATGTACAACCACAGGTAGACTTCCTTGTAGGGTGGAAGTGAAAGCAACTTACCACTCCACCCCCTGCAGAGTGGACCAGCACCGACATGCCCTCTCGCAGGTTGGCGACGTCAAAGAGCATCATGTACGCAGTTACAAAGTTCATAGGAAAAGCAGCAGCTTCAGAGAAACTCATATCCTCGGGGATTTTGTACACAAATTCCACAGGCGTGCACACCACCTCTGCCCAGGCATTATAGTTGACAAAAGCCATGACGTGGTCTCCAATCTAAAAGTAATTTGGAAAGAGAACTGTTATATTTGCAGGCACCGTTATCTGCAATGCGAGACAATGCACACATTTGTCTGACAGACACCAGCTGGGGACCTTCAGAGATCAGAGACCCCCAGTTTTTGGGTGCTGTAAATTTCTCTGCCTCAAGTTTAGGATCCTCCATTCCCCCAGGTTTTATTTTTAATAATGATTTTTTAATGAGTAATGAAGTATTTGGTGATATGCCACATAATTCAGGGCTTAAGGAGCAAGCCACAGGAAACGCAAAACCTTGGCTTCTTCTCATATGCAAACATCCTCGCTGGTCTGCAGAAACAACGCCCCTGAGTCGGGGGACAAAATTCAGTTCAATGCTGCTTCGGTGTGCGTCAGAATTATTACTTTTTATTTTAAAGACACGAGTATTCAGGTTGGATTCTGACTGCAAGCGTCATGTCATTGCATTTTCATATCTGCATCTGACTTTATCAATGGCTTGTGACAGGCTCTAAAATAGGGAAGCAGCACACAATAGCGTTCCAGCTGGGTGAAAGGAAAAAAAAACACCTAGAAATACATATTTCAATTGTGAGGCAGGAGATAATAATTTTTTTTGGAAAGAGATTATTATTATATCTACCATGTCCAGTCATGCCATGCTGAAGTCCATTTGAGTAAAATTCATTCATTAATGATATTCATAAGTTTTTATACCAAGAATTTACATATTTGTACTCAGATATTTTTCGAGATAAACTTGCAGTTCTAAGCGTGGCTCCATTTGAAGAGATAATACGGTCAGTCTGGACTAGGTGCAAAAAAGGGTCAGCTACCATGATTTTTCTATGAGGAGAAGTAAATAATGCTAGGGACTTCATCGCTTATTAAGTAGAGCCTGAAAGAAGCTTTTGTGAAAACACAATGCTGTTATGTGGGAGAAAGGAAAGACAATAGATGCATTCTTTACGAAACCATTAAAGCCTTTACTCCTCCTTCACAACACATAATTAGCTTCTGAATTCACAGTCATACGATGTGTCATTCAGCAATTTAAGCGGCTATTTAGAGAGATGTACGAGTTCATGGAAAATATATCCATCACCGCATAAATTGATAGCGAACTGATTCTTCAGGTACCTATATTTAGGCAGCCAAATCAGCTCCATCCAACAGGGAGAGGAAGATATAAGCAGGTTAGGTGGAGCTCAGGGTCTTCAAAAGGATAAAAACATCATCAGCGTGGACAATTCCCCCAGCCATGAGAAAGCCAGTGTGGTGGTACATTGATTAGAGCAGACAGGGGCAAAGTTTGATCCTCCTGATGATGTTAGAGTGCACTTCCCATCATCCTTCACAATCAACTATGTTCTCTAGGGCTAATGAGAGCTATATTCCAATCCCATCGGGGGGCACAAGACACCCACCCTAGGGGTAGCATCTCAGAACATTCTGGAGCTTATAAGTAATGAGTTACAGGTAATGTTATGTGTAATGAGTTCTTTTTTGGAATAAACAGGGCCGGAACAAAGAAAAATTTCAAAAGCAATATCATGAATGGGAATTAAGAAATTTTAATAATGTGACAAATAACATTTCATGTTTACTGGAGGGCTGTGGCATTCCTTGTAAACTTTCTTTCCTGGATGCTCTTGTGGC